TTTTTTTGGTTTTTCGAGACAGGGTTTCTCTGTGGCTTTGGAGCCTGTCCTGGCACTAGCTCTGTAGACCAGGCTGGTCTCGAACTCACAGAGATCCTCCTGCCTCTGCCTCCCAAGTGCTGGGATTAAAGGCGTGCGCCACCACCGCCCGGCTTCTCTCTCTCTTTCATGCAAGCACGCACACATGGAAGATGTGTGTGATTTGGGTCTTTTTTTAACTGTCTGTGGCTGATGGAAGTCATCTTTCTATCTGGTAAGAGTAAATGCATCTCATTTGAGAACCATGCTATTGCTGTGCCCATGTCGACTGCTTTCTGCAGATGCAGTGAGACCTGGTACCAAAGGACACCAGGAATGCTCTCCCGGGCTCACCTCACTGTAGGTCCTGGGAACCTAATGCTTGAACAGCCCATATAAGCTTACAAAGACATGTGTGTCCCTGCAGCCTTCTTACTCCTGAACCAGGGGCTCACTGTGTGGCCCAGACTGTTGTCAAATTCATATCTTCCAGCCTCCACCTCACAAGTGCTGGGACCACAGGCATTTTCCTACCTCAGCTGGCTCTTGGTGTTTAGGTTTCTTTCCTGTGGCTAGTGTTGTGTCAAACAAAAATACAGCCTTGTGCTTGTGATGACTTTCAACCTGGCTTGGCCTGTTTCTAAACCTGGTTTTCTGCCTCCACTAAGAAGCTTTGTGCTGGGAATGGCTTAGTACCAGGAAGGCTTAGTTAGTGCCAGGGTGACTTAGTGCTGGGATGGCTTAGTTAGTGCCAGGTGGCCCTAGTTAGCGCTGGGATGATTTAGTTAGCACCGGGATAGCTTAGTGCTGGCCTGGCTTAGCGCCAGAGGATGCCTTAGTTAGCACTAGGATAGCTTAGTTAGTGCTAGAATAGTTTAGTTAGTTCTAGAATGGTTTAGTTAGTGCCAGGAAGGCTTAGTTAGTGCCGGGATGGCTTAAGTGGTGAAACTGGTTCTTGGCATGTCTAGAAGAAATCTAAATGCACCAAATACAAACAGCATTTGTTTTTTCTGTTTTTCTGTCCCTGGTTCAGTGGTGTTATTTGCTATAGCTTAAGTTTAAAAAGCCTTTTTCATGTACTCACAGTGTCAGATTTTTAAAGGGTCTGTCATATGTTAGACTTCATGGCCACATGTGATGTCTTCCTTGTCTTTCATATCAATCTCTCTAAAGTGATCATAGGCCACAAAGTACAGATTTTAGACCTTGTTTGCTGACCACTGTTGTAGCCCTTCCATGAGCTGTATGTAATCCACAGTGCCGTCCTCTTCAGAGATCACACGTGCTGCTATAATAGCAAACTAACTGTAATAACAAATGTTACACAACTTGTTTCTGTGACTGTAATTTTTGATCCTTAATGTATTTTTAATGCTGTGGGTTTCTACAGTTTTGACCTAATTATTGATGACAGCCTGTGAAATGTAGCTGCCCCAGATGTATAAGAGTCATACAAATGCTTTTGCTTTGTTGTTGTTGTTTTTAATTGAACCCCCTACAAGAGGGTAACAGACTGGTTAGAGTACTGCCTGGCACAGATATGCTTTTAATAGTACCCTAAAAATGTGATTTGGCACTTAAAGTTTATCAAATGTGTTTCAAGTAGAATTTCAGTCTAATTAGTGGTAGTCCAAAAATAGTATTTAACTAATAGGATAACATTATTTTTAGTGAATTGGTGAGAGATGATTACAATGAAACTGTTCACAAGAAGACAGAAGTTGTGATCACGTTGGATTTCTGCATCCGAAACATTGAAAAGACTGTGAAAGTGTGAGTAGAGTCGTCGCAAACTGACCTGTCTTAATTTCCTCCAGCACGGCAGGACACAGTGTGCCGAGGGTTTGTTTATGCAGCAGCCCTGGATTCGTGGCTGCTCCATCTCAACAGGGAGAACATCAGGTTTCTTATAAGGAATTAACACCATCATTTTGATGGCTTTTCCAACACCTTTTCTGAGTGGCAGGCAGTGGGAGGTAGGACTATCTTTTACCTCTCTTAGGAGGCAGAGATGAACAGGAAATATAAAACTTCCATCAAAGCTGGGCGGTGATGGCGCACGCCTTTAATCCCAGCACTGAGGAGGGAGAGACAGGTGGATCTCTATGAGTTGAGGCTAGCCTGGTCTACAAGAGCTAGTTCTAGGACAGGATCCAAAGCTACAGATCTTAAAAGAGCCAAAAAAAAAAAAAAAAAAAAGAAAGAAAAAGAAAACCTTCCATCAACTAAGCAAGTAAGAAGCGGCAGCTGAAACAGCCTTTGGGTAGTATTTTGGGAATTTTAGAAACAACTTTTTGAGGGGCTACTGAGATGGTTGAGTGGGTAAAGGTGCTCTCTGCACAGCGTGGTAACTCGAGTCCTATCTCCAGATAGGCTGGAGGAGAGTACTGGTCCATTTTCTTCTGACCTCCGTATGCATGCTGTAGAATGCACGGCCCATGCACACACACACACCATTAATAAGTTTTATTTTAAAAAAAAAAAAAACTACAGAATTTTAGCAGTGACTTTTAATTTATTCTTGTTATTCTGCTGTCTGCTAAAGTATACATTTTTTGTAAGTAAAATATATTCAGCTATTAAAGTATACATTTTTAATATGCATATATAATTCTAAAATCTGGTATTTTCACCATTATCCTGACATAACAGGATAATGATTTAAAATTCACTTCTTTCTCTACTTTTTCCTAATCTGCACATTTATATTGGAAGTACACAGTATATAATGGAAGTATACAGTATACAATAGGTACTGATTCTCAGTATGCAGTCCCAGGTTCCCAGTAGAAATTCCGATCGTGTCAAAGCATGATATCGAAGCCCTGCTGTTCCTCCACAGTTCATCCCATGACTAAGATCACTACTAAGTAACTAGGAAGTGTATAGCATATACAGCGTGGATCCATAGCACAAGGGCAGGGTCTGTCCTGGGCTGGACGAGTAATTGGCATGGAACTTCATTATACTCAGATGGTGTGAAACTTAACATATAGGAAATGCTTGTAGAATTTTCCACAAAATAATCTCTGACTGCCATTGACCACTGGCACCTGCAGCCACCTGAAACAAAAACCACAGATAGAGGAGGAACATCTGTGTAGGAGACGCCTCCTTTGGGAAGGCAGCAAAGGTTTCTTAGAATCTCTTACCATATAGACCTTGAGTAAGTTTTTTATTAAGTGATTATAGTAATAAAATTCACTTCATAAACTACTTCTAGAAATCTGTATTTGTTACTCTTATTCATTTTCTGATGTGTTTTTCATACAGATATGAAAAGTTGATGAAAATTAACCTAGAAACAGCAGAGTTGGGTGAAATTTCAGACATACACACCAAATTGTTGAGAGTAAGTATTGGTGAATCGTAACAGTTACAGGGTGGACCATAACCTGTTCTCTGCTGGTGAGAGCTCTTGTCTGCGCTTCCTGAGAAAAGTGTCACTTCCAAAGCTCTATGGAGAAAAGACACTGTGTGTGTGTAGGCTTGTATAGATATGTATAGGATAACATATCTTATTCTATATGTATTCTTAACTATATATGGTAAACAATTATACTTTATTCTATATATATTCTTAGATATACACATACACCATATCTGCCATTCAGTTCTTTGTGCTATTTCCAAATGCTTTCTGTATTTTCAGCACATGTGACTCTTATCTCTCCTACCTCCCACCCCACATTTTCTGCGTTTTTTGTTTTTAATCCTTCGTGCTGTCGTGTAATAGTGGAGTTCATAATGGTTCTTTAACATGCAGTCAAACATTGGTGATTAAACTTGCTTAGAAATGACTGCAAATCCAGAAACATCAGATCTCTTTGAAAAGTAAAGGATTGGGAATCCTTCGGCAGTGGGTCATTTCTATAACTAGAAAAGACAGTAAGGACACAAGTTTGCTGAACACAAAATAGATGTCAGAATGGATTTCTCTTTAATGCAGAAGTCCACACAGTTATGTACTGTGGGAGCTGATTACCGACTCCTGGGCTGCCTGTTTACCCAGACACTCCTGATGGGCTAAATAAGGCCTTTCAAAAAGACCTAAATTATTTTCAAGTTATGCATATGTGTGTGCTGCTCTGTGCATGTGTACAGGTGTCCCTGCCTTGATCCCCTTGAAGCTGGAGTTGGAGGCAGTTGTGAGCCACCTGATGTAGGTGCAGTCCTCTGGAAGAACAGTAGTAGGTGCTCTAACTGCTGAGCCTTCTCTCCAGCCATCATAAGCCTTTAGTAGTTTTTTTTGTAGTTTTGGTTTCTCTGTCTCAAAAGTTGTCAGCTTCTTTATCTCATCAGTTGAATAAAGGCAGAACTATGTGTTCCTGCAAGCCTGTAGCATTTAAGGGATTCATAAGGTGGAAGCTAGGATGTAAAGGAGGGTCCACAAGACAGCTCAGCAGATAGAGACACTTGTTGCCATGCCTAACGCCCTGAGCCAATTCCCAGAATCCTCTGAACAGAAGCTCCACAAATTGTCTGACCACCACACATACGCTGTGCCATGTCTGCACCCATTCACACAAAGAAAGAAACTGTAATTAAAAACCTTTTATAAATAAAGAAATCTGAGGGCAGGGATTGAATAGCTTGCTTGGTAGGACCTGAGCTCCATCCCCAGAAGCCCTGTGATGTGCTCAGCCAGTAACCATGGTACTAGAACACTCCCTGGGATTTACTGCCAACCGCTCAGCCCAGTCAGTCGGTGGGTTTTGACCTACTCATGCATGTACCCGCTGCACACAGACAGGGAACGCGGTAAGAGCCTGCTCTTCTTTCCATAATGGACTGATCTTTAGTTGTTCTTGTCCATGGTTTTAGATCTAGAACAGTGGTTTTCCAAAGAATGAATCACGATGAGTAACGGACTATGAAGTTTGGTGCTTGCGGTCGGTGGCATCCTTAGAGAGGATAGAAAACGTCAGAGCACATCACATACTACAAGTCTCTGCCCCGTAAATAAAACTTTCACTTTACTTACTCACACACTTTAAATGATACTTAAAACATTGGGAAAAATTTTAGGAGATAAAGTTATTTAAAAGTCAGAAACAAGAGGAGATGTAGCTCATTTGCTTGAGTGAATCCTTAGCATAGAAGTTCTAATTTTAAAATAGCACATATGCCTACCACCACTCCCCCCCCAAACAACAACAACAGTAGCTAAAGGTGTTTGTGAGTATCCTGCAGCAGTCAGCAGAGTGGCGCATTGAACAGCCGGATCAGCCTCACCTGAAACCAGGAGAAACAGCGGAGACCCTTAGACCGAGCCTCCACAGTTGGCATTCTGACCTAACCCATCGCTGTGTTTAGCTCTCCAGTTCCCAGGGGACCATAGAGAGTGGCCTTCAGGACATTGACAGCAGGCTGTCTCCAGGGGGGTCGCTGGCAGACACCTGGGCCCATCAGGAAGGCACTCATCCCAAGGACAGAAAGTAGGTTCCAGCCTTGGGGCATTTCTGTTCCTGTTAATTGTCCTTTGTTGCATCAGTCCCAATCATTTACTTGGGTTTTTCTTCCTTACATAGTGTAGAAAAACTCCAAGTCTTGTTAAATTGCATCACAGAAATTTACTATCAGTTCAAAAAGGACAAGGCAGAGCGCAGTAAGTAATGTTTGCTGTTCCTTCATCTGCGTGGGCTCGTGAGTGTGGGTGGAGCAGCACACACACCTGTGCTGTTTAAGGCGGCTGCTTAAGAGATGTGTGGGAAAGACTGATGAACCAAAAGTTAGTGCCAGCCAACCTTTCCCACTCCTCAAATTAAGGCCACGAACCCTCGATCTTCTGGAGGCCTGGCCGGCAGCACACAGGGAGGCTTCCTGGTGGCCTGGGGACAGAAGTCAGCAGCACATCTGACACTGCCCTGTTCTGCTGCCTTATGCTGCCCAGGCCTCTCTTTTTAAAGAAAAACTAGAGATGTGACCTTTATTAAAAATATCCTGACTTAAATGTTGATAGTTAATTTTCATTTTTAAATCATAACTTCATACTAACCAAATTAAAGTGTAAACGAGCCATATGTAGCCCGTGGGCCCCAAAACTTTGATGCCCACTTCAAACTCAGCCTTTTGGAAGCAGTAATCTCCAAGGAGCTCAACTCTGCATTAACAGAAGTGCGCTTTTCCGTTTTCAGGACTCGCTTATAATGAAGAGCAGATCCACAAGTTTGATAAGTAAGTATCCAGGCTGGGTTAAAACCGGTTCTTTTCACTGCTTATCTGTAATATCTTTATTTCTTGTTAAAGTTGGGATTAATTACAGGTTCCACTGTGGGTCCACATTGTTCAAGCCCACTCATCTGGTTCCTGGTTGGGAGGGCCCTAGGACAGAAGAATGGCTGAGAGAAAGGCCCAGTTCTGCTCCCTCAGCTGTCTCTGCCTCCATGCCGTGCTTACAGATGGCAGCGAGGAGGGCTCCTGAGGCCAGCACAGCCCTTAACTAACTCCAGCCAATAGGTATTGGGGCTGGAGATGGCTCAGTGGTCAAAAGCACTGGCTGCTCTTCAGAGGACGTGAAGTCAGTGCCCAGCATCCACATCAGGTTGTTCACAACCACCTGTGCTATGGCTCCAAATCCACAGTAATTCTAAAACAAACAAACAAAAAAACATGAATTTCATGTATTTGAAGTGTTTTTTTTGTTGTTGTTGTTGTTTATTTTGACTTTCCAGTCAGGGTTTCTCTGCATAACCCTGGCTGTCCTGGAACTAGCTCTGTAGGTGAAGGTGGCCTTGAACTCAGAGATCCTCCTGCCTCTGCCCTCCAAGTGCTGTTGTGAAAGACGTGTGCCACTGTGCCTGGCTTGAAGTGTTTTTAATCAGAGGTAGAAATTGTGAGGTTATTTTAAGCCTCATGTTTTTTCTAACTTGCAGACAAAAACTGTATTACCATGCAACAAAAGCAATGAGCCACTTTACAGAAGAGTGTGTTAAGAAGTACGAAGCTTTTCTGGATAAGTCAGAAGAGTGGATGCGGTAAGGAGGCTGCGGTGGGGACAGGAGGTCGGCTGTGCAGTGCACTGTGTGCTATGTTTAAGTGACAGTCCCAGGAGGCTGCTTGCTAACAGGCTCTTATTGGTTTTCAGAAAGATGTTTCTTCTGAGAAAACAGCTGTTATCTCTAACTAATCAGTGCTTTGATATCGAAGAGGAAGTGTCCAAGTATCAAGACTACACTAATGAGGTACAGCCTGAAGTGGAGTGGAGGAAAGAGCTTTTCTGTGAGAGGACTGCGTAGTGTGGTCCTGATCACGACTGCAGGAGACTGTGTGCCTGTGTGTGCGCACCTGCATGCCAGAGGACAACTCTGGGGCGCGGTTCTCTCCCCCAGCGGGTGGGTCCAGGGTGGCTGGGATCAACAGGCCTGGCAGCACCCATGCTGCTCACCGCCTCTCCCTCGCTCACTTTGCTTCCAGATGTTGAACAATTGAAACACCTGATAATTCATCTTATATTGTTTGTAAGGAGGATTGCTTTAGAGGGTGTTGGCTTCAATACTTAGCACTGATGTCTTTGAAACAGGAACTCGATCTGTATTGGGCTGTAGACTAGTGGTTAAGCGCATGCCCAGAGTGCATGAAGTTTCCCACGCCCCTGCAGAGTGGGTGTGGGGCGTCCAGCCTTCCTGAAGCCCTAAGTGGTCCTTGACTGGCAGTATGTGTGCCTTGTCTAGAGACACCTTTGCTTTCTGTTACAGTTACAAGAAACTCTGCCTCAGAAACTACTTGCAGCCTCTAGTGGAGCCAAGCACGCCATGACCCCGATTTACCCCAGTTCTAACACTTTAGTGGAGATGACTCTCGGGTAAGCAACTTTGTTGGAAATTGGAATAGCGATGCTTGTCCTCATTCCAGTTTGAAATCTTGTTCTCACCTCTCAAAACTCTCGATGTGTACTATGCTTGGTGTTATTCCATGACACAGCTAAAACGCTGCAAATTAATTCTCGGATGTTGAGCGTCTTTGCTTTATCCCCCTAGTATGAAGAAATTGAAGGAAGAGATGGAAGGCGTGGTTAAGGAGCTGGCTGAGAACAATCATATTTTAGAACGGTGAGTGGCGCGGGCTTGGCTGGCGATGTGGCTGCAGCTGGATCAGAACATCTCTGCTTCTCTGTCCTTCTCTGTTCGGAAGGTGCAGTGATGAGACAGGCAAGGGACATCTTGGCCCTTACTCTTCCTTCTCGGTGTGGTGGGAAACTTGTGATGCCATTTGGCATTGGTTTTTGTTGTTACTGTTTTGCTTTTGACAAGGTCCTACTCTGTAGCCCTGGTTATCCTGGGACTCACAGAGCTCCACCTGCCTCTGCCTCCTGGGTGCTAGGATTGAAGGCGTGCACCATCACGCCGCTTCTTTGACTCTGCACAGGGATCTTTGTCGCTTGATTTTCCCATTTGGGCCTTCACAGTTGCCCAGACAACAGTACTGGAGCTGAGAGGTCTCCAAGGCCGCTGCACACCTTTTATTACTGAGGAGGAAGCAAAGTTCTGTCCTAAGGAATGTGCTTGTCTTAACACAGTACAGTTCATGCTGAGGAATGGCACTGGGAAAACATCTCCTGTAATTAAACTAAGAGCAGAAACTGCATTCTCAATGGAGACTGTACAGTTCACGATATCACAGCCTCAGATCTGAGCCATGCCCTGCGGACAGGGCTCATGGGTGCATGGTAAGATGCCTGCTGGTGTTCAGGGCTTCAGAGGAGTTGTGTCCTGCAGTGCCAGCTGTCAGAACACCTCAGCTTCACTTGACTTTTTTTGGTTGCTGTGTATTCAGAAGCCTTTGGCTGTGCTAATTTTTCATGACTCCTCCCCCGTCCACACATACATTCATTTCCATGAGTGAAATGTTTGGAACCAGAAATGTTTGGGGCTCCTGGATTTTTCCAGATAATGAAATGTGGGCCCAGCACTGTGGGTGTTCCGTATGTCCCTTATACACATAAGCTGAAAGTAATTTTATACAAAGTTTGCTATGCCTGCATTATAAATGCATCTTGTCACAAGAGTTCAGAATTTTTATTTTGTGGCCTCTTGTCAGTACTCAAAAGTTTCAAGTTTTGGATTATTTCAGATTTTAAGATTCAGGGTGTTTGATTTGTAATGAAAGCCAGGGCAGCAGAGAATATTATACAACCTATATACATAGATATCCTGGTTTTACTTCTAGGAGTTTTTGTATCTGAAATCATTCTGACTCAGTTTTCCCTCTAAATGTCCCATGCTGCTCCAGGAACACCACTTGCTACCTCTTGAAACATGAATTCTTCCAGGCTCACTTTTGCTTCCCCTTGACTAGTTTGGTACTCTTCACAACGCTTCCTGTCTCCCTCATCCAGACTTCCCTTCCCCTGAAGCTGCAGTGGTAACCTGTTAGCTTGGCTCTGCAACCACAGTCCTGGTATTTACAGCCAGAAAGCCAGAAGAATCTTCTAAAATACTGATATGATCATGTCCCTCCCTTGCCTTAAAAACTTCTAGCCAGGTGTGATATCTTTAATCCCAGCACCGTAGAGGCAGGGACAGGGAGGGGGGGGGGATATCTCTGTGAGCTCAAGGCCAGCCTGGTATAAATAACCAGAGCTACACAGAGAAAACCTGTCTCCTCCCCCCCCCCCAAAAAAAAAAGGAAGAAGAAGAAAGAAAGAAAAAGGAAAAAATTTCTAGGGCTCTGTTACAGGAAGTACAGGCTACATCCATGTCTTCACTGAGGAAGATGTGGTGTCTTGGTCGCCAGCATTACTGCCTTCTACCCGAGAGTAACGCCCTGCAGCCAGGCTCCTTCCTTCGCTCGCCCTGGAGAGTGCCACTCCCAACTCTGTGTTTCAGCCTTTAAACCAAACCCCTCACTCAGAAGAGAATCTCTGATTCTTATAACACTTTTTAAAGTACATCACTTCCCATTTCCTCTTAAAAAATGTTTTCCAGGTTAGGGAACTGGTACTTGCTACAAGCCTGACAGCTCACATGCTAGAAAGACCTAACTCCTCCACCCAAGCACCATGGTGCGTGTGTGCGGGGTGCACACACAATGAATAAATACATGGGATTTCCAAAATATATTTTCTTGAACATTTTATTTATTATTTTTACGTGTTTCAGTGTTTTGTCTGCATGTATGTCTGTGAATCACTTGCATACAGTGCTCCCAGGGGCTGGAAAAGGGGCTGGATTCCTTGGACCTGAACTTGTAGATGGCTGTGAGCCACCATGTCAGTACTGGGACAAGCCCGGGTGCTCTGGAGAACAGCAGTCTCTACCTGCTGAGCTAGCTCTCATGGGTTTGTTTTTGTTGTTTGTTGTTGTTTTGTTTTTTTTGAGACAGAGTTTCTCTGTACAGCCCTGACTGTCATGGAACTCACTGTGTAGACCAGGGTGGCCTCAGACTCACAGAGATCCACCTGCCTCTGCCTCCTGAGTGTTGGGAGTAAAGATGTGCGCCACCACCGCCCGGCCTTGTTTTTGTTATTAAGCTTCCCCAAGCCGCTGAATTGTATTTCTTCATATAATAATGCCCCTCATTTTCAGTACGACATAGAACAAATCACAGTTGTTTAAATTATTTAAAGACAAGCCTGGCAGCCTGAACTAAGTCCACAAAGCGTGGTAAAAGTGCAGGAGAGAATGGGCTCCAAAGTTGTCCTCTGACCTCTAGCTGTGTGCCCATTAATAATAAATAATAGTATAATGAGGGCTGGAGAGATGGCTCAGTGGTTAAGAGCATTGCCTGCTCTTCCAAAGGTCCTGAGTTCAGTTCCCAGCAACCACATGGTAGCTTACAACCATCTGTAATAAGGTCTGGTGCCCTCTTCTGGCCTTCGGCATACACANGTTCCCAGCAACCACATGGTAGCTTACAACCATCTGTAATAAGGTCTGGTGCCCTCTTCTGGCCTTCGGCATACACACAGATAGACCATTGTATACATAATAAGTAATAAATAAATATTTAAAAAATAATAGTATAATGATAACAATAAAACATTCTTCTGAAATTTTATTTCTATTGTGAAAATTATATTTTATTCTGTAATTCTTCTCTGGAGTCAGGAATTTCTCTGGCTGTGAGAAACTGGCATACAGCTCATTGGTAGAGTTCTTGCCCAGCTTGTGTGAGGGTCCTGTATTCCATCCTCAGGATACGGGGACCCCAGAGAGCAAATGAGTAGATCTGCTGAAATTTTCTTTTTTCTCGTTTTGTATGTTTTAGGTTTGGTGCTTTAACAATGGATGGTGGCCTCCGCAATGTGGACTGTCTTTAGCTTTCTAGGAATTCTGGGAAGTTCTTGTTTGCACAAGAAGTAACACTGGGGAATGAAATGAGCACCTTTATTGGTGGTTCTTATTTCTACAATTCAGTATTTGATGAGGTCGTGTAAATATGTACAGTTTGTAAATATAAATATATATATATATATAAATTTTTGGCTGCTGTTCAGATGTAATTTTGCCTTTTAAATACATTTGTAAGTCCTCAAGGCAGACTGACCTCAGTGAGCTGCAGAAGAAAGCCATGACCAGCCGATGCTTTGGGATGCTGTCCCCAGTGCTTCAAGTGAGGCTGGAGACGTCTACTGCTTGGTGCCTACTGAAAATATTTTTTAAATTGGCATCCTTAAAACTCAGAAAGGACTGGTAGTGGAGACCTTTGTGAAGGGTGGGGTGGTGGCTTTTGTGATGGAGCAGAGCCGACCCACCGCCGACACAGATGAAGCGGCATTACTTTATTTTACGAGGTGCCCAGATCTCCGTTCTCCTCGTATGTCTAATTTCAGGTGAATTATTGAGCAAAAAAATTTAAAGTGAACTCATTGTTTAAACCTTGTTTTTTCTTTGCTCATAAATGTGTAATTGTCATTCAGATTCTAGTATCATATCAATTATTTTAAGCTGTACATTTCTGTACTTTAATTCTGTTAACTATTTCATGAAATATTCTGCTTACTATTTCATGAAAAAATAAATTTCTCAATTTTAATTAAGCTTGTGTGCTTTTGTATCTCTGGTTAGTGAAACAAAACGAGGTGTTATTGTCTGTTTAAACCAGGGAACTGACTGTCCCACTACTGGGCCATGTCCCACCACTGGGTCACATGACACCACTGGGCCACGTCCCACCACTGAGCTACATCATCAAGTTACCCTGAAGGGAGCCAGTCTCATGGTGATGGGAAATTATTCTCGGAATATTGATGTGGGGTAGCACTGTCTCTCTTAGAAATTTCATGTTGTACAAAATGAAAGGCAGTGTTGTCCTTGAGAAGCCTACCCGGAGCTCTGGGCTGAAGAAGTGACTTCATCTAGAAATTTGTCTGTCAGTGACGATTTTGATTGGCTTGAGTTTTGGTTTGTCAGATTGCTGAAGGACAGTTAGGCAGGACCTCTGAGCTCTGAAAGACATTTGGGCAAGGCAGCAAACAACTGTAACCCGGAACTGAAGTGAATACCAGTGGATATAAGAGCCGATCCTTGCACTACTTAGAACAGTTAGGTGTGTTTGGTCTCAAATAAGCCAAAGGTGTATTTAGGCCCACGTCCCCATCTTTCCTGAAGCTGGCCATAGTGGTACTCACACCTGCCATTCCACAGGCTGAGGCCAGCCACTGGGGCAACATGAGCACGGTCCTGTCTAGGGCCAGCAAAGTGGCTCAGTGGGTTACAGCGCTCTATTCCAAGCCTCATCTGAGCTCAGTGGGTTACAGCGCTCTATTCCAAGCCTCATCTGAGCTCAGTGGGTTACAGCGCTCTATTCCAAGCCTTATCTGAGCTCAGTGGGTTACAGCACTCTATTCCAAGCCTTATCTGAGCTCGGTCCCCAGGTGGGAGGACAGAACTAGCTTCCATCACTTGTCCTCTGACCACACAGCCACCACGCATACATGCCCACAAGGTAGGTAAATCAAATAAAAGCAGAACTTGTGAACAGACACTGTTGAAACATTGAAAGAGACGCTTAGGAACATTATTTTAACCAGGCATACACCTTTAATCCAGTACTCAGGAGGCAGAGGCAGGCACATCTCTGAGTCTGAGGCCAGCCTGGTCTATAAAGCAAGATCCAGGACAACTAGGGCTACATAATGAGAACCTGTCTCAAAAAACAGTGTCAAAAAAAAAAAAAAAAAGTATGTGTAATTTTAGCTAGAATCTCTTCCCCATATCACTTTGGAAGAACAATGTACCTGAAAAAGCCTTAAACTTGCAGTTTCTTAAATCCATGTTTTATTTACATGTTAGTGGTGAGGTGCCCACAGAGGCAACAGGCTTAGCTCTCCTGGAGCTGGAGTTCCAGCAATTATGATCCATTTGAAATGGGTGCTGGGAACTGAACTCTGGTCCTCTGGAAGAGCCGCAAGCACTCAACTGTGGGCCCATGCCTCCTGCCTTCACGCTTTTAATTTACATGAATTTGTGACCCACTGATCACAGGACTGAAAATCCAAATCCCTAACACGTACTGGAAACAGAATAGGAATTAAAAGGATCTGATCTGAACTAACACTCAGCAGAGTAACAGCCGCTCTCATTTGTCCTTGATGGAAATCAGACCCAAACAGTTGCCGTGGTAACATGCTGTCCTACCATGTGGTTTCCCTTGTTATTCTAAGGATAGCCCCCAGTAGTCAGTCTGGATATTTTAGTAACCAAAAGGTGTGAGGAGAGGGACAAACTTGTGTCTTTTGACTCAGGTAGAATGCATGGAGACTGTTAAGCATTGATGTCCACTGAACAGTGGCACACTCAGGAGGCAAAGGCAGGAGATTACCAAGTTTGGGGACAGGCTGGGTATAATAATAAAACTCTGGCACAAAATATGATGATGATGGGGCTGGAGAGATGGCTCAGTGGTTAAGAGCACTGCCTGCTCTTCCAAAGTTCTTGAGTTCAATTCCCGGCAACCGCATGGTGGCTCACAACCATCTGTAGTGAGGTCTGGTGCCGTCTTCTGGCCTGCAGACATACACACAGTCAGAATATTGTATGCATAATAAATAAATAAATAATTTAAAAAATATGATGATGATGATGGTTTCTACAGCATTGTTCGACAAAAAAAAAAGACTAAAACAGTTGGAAAAGTCTTGTTTGTTTGTTTTGTTTGTTTGTTTTGAGACAGGGTCTCTCAGTAGCTATGGAGCCTATGCTGGAACTCACTCTGTAGACCAGATTGGCCTCAAACTCACAGAGATCCTCCTGCCTCTGTCTCCCAAGTGCTGGGATTAAAGGCGTGCGCCACCACCACCCAACAAAAGTCTTGTTCTTTTACACATTTCTAGACTCCTAAAAATCAGTCTACTTTCTATCTAGGATAAGTCCTTGCCAAGGTGGAAAGCACACCAATCCACTTTGATCAAGGCTGTGGCACTAGGAGATAGACTGGCAGTGGTAACTCCTGAGGATCAATGGGCAAAGACAGGTCTGTTGGGTGCTGAGTCTACGAACATGGCTCTTGTCACTCCTCTGACAATAACGGATGAAGGAAGTCAAGCCTGCACCTGAACATTCTCAGGGGTTGCATTAAGCTAGCGATTCCTGCACGTAAAACACCTTAAAATTCTCCTGAAAGCTGGGCTGGAGAGGTGGCTCAGTGGTTAAGAGCATTGCCTGCTCTTCCAAAGGTCATGAGTTCAATTCCCGGCAACCACATGGTGGCTCACAACCATCTGTAATGAGGTCTGCTGCCCTCTTCTGGTCTGCAGACATACACACAGACCGAATATTGTATACATAATAAATAAATAAATATTTAAAAAAAATTCTTCTGAAAGCATCTAAATAGAGTTTCTAGTTATGGGATTCAAGTATAGATTATATAAGACTTAAGTCAGGTTAAAATATCCATCTCCAGAAACATTTATCCTTCCCTTATGGTGAAAACATTCATAATCCCTTCTCCTGGCTTTTGGAAATATAGTATGTGGTTCACAGTCACCCTGTTGGTCACCAACACACCAGAACACCCTGCTTCTCTCTGACTGCAATTTAGAGCCAGTCTCTCCCAACTACCCTGCTTCCACAGTCCCAGATTCTGGTAACCGCTCTTCTGGGTGTCTATGAGATTAATGTTTTATATTTTATATTTGAATGAGACATGCAGTCTTTTCTTTCTATGGCTGGCTTACTTAATTAAGGATAGAATTTCATTATTCTTTATGGTTGACTAGTATCTGTTGTATACATGCGGGCCATCTTTTCTTTATCCATCAGTTCATGGGGTTCTTTCTTTCTTTCTTCCTTTCTTTCTTTTGCTATTGTAAACAGTGCAGCAGTGAACACAGTAAGCAATTATCACTGTAAAGTACTAGTTTCATTTCCTTAGATATATATACTTATCTCTTATTGCTATAACAAAATACCCTGGTGAAAGTTTAAGGGAGGAAGGGAGGTTTCTTCCGGCTCACAGTTCAAGGTACTGAACATCACACATCATTGCAGGAACTTCAGGTTCTGGGTCACACAGTGTTCATAGTCAGTAAGAAAAACTCCTCTCTTTATGCAGTCCAGGACCAAGCCTAGGGAATGGTGCTGCTGTAATGGTAAAAGTAAAATGCTGCAGGTCCCCAAGTGGTTGCAGTGGGCAGCGGGCCATGAGACCATGCCATAGGTCTTCAAAGTCACTGGTCAGGGGCAGGGAGCCACGTGGCAGGCCATGCGAGAGACAGACGGATAGGCACACCATGCAGAGTGAGGTTGGATATTTATTTAGTGGGTTATGGAAGGGAAGGGGAGAAGGGGGAAGAGCAGAGAGAGAGAAGTAGGGAGGAGGGAGATGGTGTAGGAGGGTCTTTTATGTGTTGCTTTTATTGGTTAAATAAAGAGATTGCCTTGGCCTTTTGATAGGACAGCAGCTTAGATAGGTGGAGTAGACAGAACAGAATGCTGGGAGGAAGAAGGCTGTGTGGCAGATGCCACGGCTCTCCTCTCCTAGACGGACTCTGGTTAGACTCATGCTGGTAAGCCACAGTCAAGTGGCAATACACATTAATGGAGATGGGTTAAACGATTATGTAAGAGTTAGCCAATAAGAGGTTAGAACTATTGGGCCAGGCAGTGTTTAAATAAATACAGTTTCCATGTAATTATTTCAGATGTAAGCTAGCCGGGCTGCCGGATGCAGCCTGCCACACTCCTACTACAGATTTGGCTGGGAACCGGGGTGGTGGGAAGCAGCCTGCAGCTTCTTTTACAACAGGGAGAGACAGAAGCTGCCTCTTTGAGAGGGAAAGAGAAAAGGAAGGACTCAGGCTGGAAGCTGAAGATCAGCTTGCCTCCATGGATAGGGAGGGAGTGTGTGTGGCTTGTCTCTTAAAGGGACAGATCAGACCACTGCAGCTGCTCACTAGGGCGAGTCTCCCCATATTGGTAAACCTAATCAGAATAAAACCTCCCAGGGGCTGGAGCAATGGCTCAGGGGTTAATAGTACTGTCTACCCTTCCAAAGGACCTGAGTTCTGTTCCCAGCACTAGTACCAAGTGGCTAACAACTGCCTATACCCAGGCCCAAGGAACCCTATGTTGTCGTCTGGACTCCTTGGCCAGCTCCTCCTGATTCCCCCAACACACAAAAATAAAAATTTTTAAAAGAGAAAGATCAACCCTCACAAGCATGCCCAGAGGCTTCCCTAACAAAAACAATTCCTTACAGGTGTTCCGGAAGGCTTGACTCCTCCACGCTTCTAGAGCCTCCCATCAAGCTGATAATCACGTGACAACCACGTGGCCCTAGAGGAAAATCACACAGCACTTCTGTTTCTAATTTGGTGGAGACACCGCCACACCACTCTCCAGAATGGCTGTCCTGGTTTACACTCCCGCCAGCAGTGTGCAAGGGCTCAGGTTTCTCCATGTTGTCGCCAGCGCCTGTCACCTTTGTCCTTTTGATACAAGCTGTTTTTATTGGAGCATGGGGCACTGTCTCCTTGCGGATTCCATGTCTGTAGAGCAGCGGCATTGAGTGTCTTTATCTGTCAGGTCTTACGGA